TGGGAATAACCTAACCAGTTTGGAGAAGACTGCCCAGAACTGGAATGGGACTATTTTTGAGTGTTGAAAACATTTGGTTAACATTTCCCATTACTTCTCCTCATTTTCTTCCAAGGTTGGAGAATGAAAGTGCTGATCTGCTATGACGAGACTGTTCTCACGCTATTTCTAGCCCTGTTTTGCACACTGTTGTGAGGGGGCATGGCCTCCTTCCGAGACTGACAGGGAGGGATGGCCATGGACCACTACAGAGACAATGAGGTTCAGACAGACAGCTAAGTTTTTGGATGCCAATCTAAACTAAACATGAACTCTGAACCATCTGGGGTCCCCTTATAGTAATACACAGTCATGTCTGCACAGTGCCTAGCACAACAGGGCCATGAATCTTGCCATTAGTGCATTATAAACCTTAATAATACTTTGAGATCTTGTATCAAAGCCACTATGGAAGAGCAAAGACCTTTACAACTGTTAAGTTTACACTCAGCAAAGCTGAGGAGAGGGTGTGGGGAAAGTGTTTAAGCCACCTTTCCACATCTGTGCACCTGAGTCATATACAGCCTGAAACAGCACCTGGCATAATGAAGAACAGCCCTAAGCTGCTCTAAATTACATCATCATCAGCAAATCTGGTGGGCCATGCTGCTCTGTGCCCACGTCTGAAATGCCAGCTCTCTGTCCCCTACACCAAGATGGGGAGCAGAGAGTATAGAACTAGCTGTGCCAACATTGTACAACCTAATGGTTCCCCTGCAGCAGGGGGACTCCTTGGCTGTCCCTTAAGGGTAGCCCTTGCCATGTACCGGAACTGGGGCAGAGGATTGAGCACTAATGGCCCAATTCTGCAGACTTTATTCATTCAAACCATTCACTGAAAGTAACAGGAGTTGCAGATGGGTAAGTTCTGCATGCTTTGGCTCTAATTAGTAAAGCGTCACAATACCACTGAGAGATAGTAGGGAAGTATTATCCCTATTTTACAATTAGGGCTGGTCTACACTGCGGGGGGGGGAGTCGATGTAAGATACGTCGACTTCAGCTACGCTATTCCCGTAGCTGAAGTTGCGTATCTTATTTTGACTTACCTCGGGTCCTCACAGCGCGGGATCGACGGCCGCAGCTCCCCTGTCGACTCCGCTACCGCCGCTCGCCCTGGTGGAGTTCCGGACTCGACAGGAGCGCGTTCGGGGATCGATATATCGCGTCTAGACGAGACGCGATATATTGATCCCCGATAGATCACTACCTGCCGATTCGGCGGGTAGTCTGGACGTACCCTTAGTCTGGGGCCCAGAAAGGTCAAGCAACATGGCCAAGGTCATACAGTGGGTTAGTATCAGAAATGGTAATAGACCCCAGGTTTCCCCAGACCTGTGCTAGCCTCTATATAATTCACTAATCATGACTGCAACTAACTACATGAACTTTAACACTGTCCCAGTCAGGATTCCAACCATTTCTCTGTTTCCACAACCTTGGCTTATAAAAATTGTTGTCACAGCTTACATACCAAGATATTAAAACTGTAGGGTAACAATACATTTCATACAATTAATTCTATTTTGTTGGCTGAAAAATTAAGGACGTGTCAGGCCTACAAGCTTTTTTTAGTATAAAAATTAATCATTTTGACCACAAGGGGGCCAGACTGTGCTGCTTGTATTTTAGATGGATTTGGCTAGAAGAAGTCAGAACTGTAATTGTTGCAACGCTGGGATTCTGACTCACATGTTTTCATTTTTAACAGCTGTGGTCATTTCCATCCAAAAGGGATGAGCCGAAGGGATGGTACTTGGATGGTGCAGATGTGACAACAGGCTAGTGGTGATGGGACTCTGCTCTCTAGAATTTAGAGTTGTCATTTCCTAACTTAACAAGAGAATTTATACTCTCTGTCCAGAGGTCTCTCTGACCTCAGTGAAAAAGAGGAAGGTGGGATGGTTGAGAGGGAAAATAACAATTCAATCGGGAAACATATATAAAGCAACAAGTACAATACTGTCCCAATCATGCTGTCCTTTGTGTACTAGGCAGTAGAGGAGTAGAATGCAATTGCACCAGCCCTATGAAAAGCTGCATAGAGTACAGGGAAAGGCAGTGCTATTATGCACCTTTTGGGCTTGATTCTCCAGGGCCTTGCACTTCATGCAGTCATTTACACCTGTGCAGATTGTGTGCAACCTCTACCATTCTGATTCAGTGCAGTTTTACATTCACTTTGAATAGATGTGAGTGACTGCTCAAAGTGAAAGGCACGGGGGAACCAGGACTTGTGTGTGCTGTACTGTGCAAAATTCAGTCAGAGTGAGGCACACAGGTCCCGGGTACTGTCAGAAAAGGGGGCATTGTCTGAGAACCTTTGAGGTGTGGTCAAGCCCAGAAGGAGCTGCACTGTGCGACTCCCATGATTTCAGTAAGGGACCCATGCTCATGCACTTGTCTGTGGGCAAGTGTGCTTAGGCTAGATAGCTGCAAATATCATAGAATCGTAGGACTGGAAGGGACCAAGAGAGGTCATCTACTCCAGTCCCCTGCATCCACGGCAGGACTAAATATTATCTAGACCATCCCTGACAGGTGTTTGTCTAACCTGTTGTTAAAAATCCCCAATGATGGAGATTCCACAACCTCCCTAGGCAATTTGTTCCAGTGCTTAACCATCCTGACAGGAAGTTTTTCCTAATGTCCAACCTAAACCGTTCTTGCTGCAAATTAAGCCCATTGCTTCTTCTCCTATCCTCAGAGGTTAAGGGGAATGATTTTTCTCCCTCCTCCTTGTAACAACCTTTTATGTACTTGAAAACTGTTACCCTGTCCCCCCTCAGTCTTCTCTTCTCCAGACTAAACAAATCTAATTTTTGCAATCTTCCCTCATAGGTCTTCTCTGGACTATCTCTAATTTGTCCACACTTTTCCTGAAATGTGGCACCCAGAACTGTACACAATATTCCAGTTGAGGCCTAATCTGCCCAGAGTAGAGCGGAAGAATTACTTCTTGTGTCTTGCTTACAACACTCCTGCTATTACAGCCCAGAATGATGTTTGCTTTTTTTGCAACAGTGTTACACTGTTAACTCATATTTAGCTTGTGATCCACTATGACTAAGGCTGCGTGTCTGTCACGGAAGTCATGGATTCCGTGACTTTCCATGACTTCTGCAGTGGCCAGTGCTGGCTCAGGGGCTACCTAAGCCAGGCAGCCCCTAGGCCAGCAGCAGTTTGGGTGTGTGGGAGGAGGCTCAGGGCTGGGGCAGGGGGTTGGGAGCAGGGCAGTGCTTACCATTGGCAGGTCCCTGCAGCTCCTAGGTGGAGAGGCCAGGAAGCGCCGTGTGCTGCCTGCACCCGCAGGCACCACCCCTGCAGCTCCCACTGGCTGCAGTTCCCGGCCAATGGGAGATGTGGAGCCAGCACTTGTGGTGGGAGCAACGCGCAGAGCCCCCCTGGCTGCCCCTCCCCCTAGAAGCTGCAGGGACCTGCTGGTCGGAGCCAGGTAGGGAGCCTGCCAGCCCCACCAACCCTCCCCAGCAACAGCAGGGGTCCCGGACCACCCCCCACCCCCCCCCCAAGCATGGGTCCCGGGCTGTGTGCCACTGCCCGCACCCATCACCACCAGCAGGGGTCCCAGGCTGCGTTCTGTCACCTCCCTCCCCCCCAGCATCTGCGGTGCCTCCGGCCCACTCCCCCAGAGCACCCGCAGCCCCCCAGCTCAAGTTTTAGTTAGGGGTATATAATAAAAGTCATGGACAGATCATGGGTCATGAATTTTTTTTATTGCCCGTGACCTGTACATGACTTTTACTAAAAATACCTGTGACTAGAACATAGCCTTAACTATGACCCCCAGATCCCTTTCTGCAGTACTCCTTCTTATGTAGTCATTTCCCATTTTGAATGTGTGCCACTGATTGTTCCTTCCTAAGGAGAGTACTTTGCATTTGTCCTTATTGAACTTGATCCTATTTACTTCAGACCATTTCTCCAGTTTGTCCAGATCATTTTGAATTTTAATCCTATCATCCAAAGCACTTGCAACCCCTCCCCGCGTAGTATCTCTGCAAACTTTGTAAGTGTACTCTCTATGCCATTATCTAAATCACTGATGAAGATATTGAACAGAACTGGACCCAGAACTGATTCCTGCATGACCCCACTCAATATACCCTTCCAGCTTGACTGTGAACCAGTAATAACTACTCTCTGGGAATGGTTTTCCAACCAGTTATGCACACACCTTATAGTACAGATGTGGGCAAACTACGGTCCGTGGGCCACATCCAGCCTGCAGGACCATCCTGCCCGGCACTTGAGCTCCTGGCCGGGGAGACTAGCCCCCGGCCCCTCCCCTACTGTCCCCCCTCCCCTGT